TAATAATATAAAACAATTGATAAAATTAATATTCTAAATAACCAACAATTAATACTAGTGAATAATTTATAATTAAAATTAACTAATACATTAAAACTAATAATTAAATCAATTAACTATCAAAATTAATTAATATCAATCAGGGTATACTCGAAAATGTGGCAAAAAGCTACTAATAAGCTACTCCAACTAGCTTTTTAATAAGATAATTTATAAATCAGCTTATGTACATCGAAATACGTATTCAAAAAATAAGGCAGCTTATGTTTGCTAAACAGTGTCTTAATCTCTTCTAACATAGAAGTTCGTTAGCTGTTTTTCGGTAATGTATTTGTTTGACATAAGTAGGTAAAACGATTTATTTACTCAAAAAATATCTAAAAAGCTAAGGCCTTGTTTGTTTTTTATAAAAAAACTCTTATTAGTCTCTTATGTCTGGTTCGTTAAGAGACAACGCCATTCAGACTGTTTGTTTTTTCTAATTTTTCAGAGACACTTATGTCTTATTTTATATCTGATAAGAGGTAAACCAACATCTTGTTTGTCTCTTATTGTTCTTCAAATCCTTAACAACGACGTTTTCTCAATCCATTAATCTTAATCGATCATTTATCTCAATCGATCCTTACCAAAGCAATCCTCACATCTCTCAAAATAGGATGTAAATGTGTTAAATACCGTTAATGACATATATTCGTTTAAATGAATGTTAATTATATAATTTAGATGTAAATTTCATAATGATGATGAATAAATATATGAAATTGTATAAATCTATACTACCTTATAAATCAAATTTATCAAAAGTCTTAAAAACAATTTTTAATGCACAAAGTATTATACATTTATGCACAAAGTTTTAAAAATAACTCATAATGCATTAATGCATTAAGTACTACTACTTTATATATTCAATCTTAAAATCTTTTAATTTACAATTAAAATAACATATAGTACAAGTTACCAATGCACATATTACTTTTTTTACATGTTTCCGAGATACTTTTGACACCTTTCACTCATGCATTCACCCTATCATATCTCTCTGTCTTCTTCCCATCCCCCAAGATAAGATTCAAAATTAAATTCATCATGAGTTATTAAAAGTTATCTCATTCATCTCCCATTCAATTGCTCTAGAACTTTCAGTCTCGTTCTCGCTCTCTTGATTCTTTGTTCTTGGTGTAAATCGAACACATTTGTGAAGTCGTTTAAATATGTTGGATTTTAAATATATTGGATTTTAAACTGTTATACAATTTTTTCCATCAATAAATTGTAATTGGAACTATAACTTTTATTTATTCAAATTGTATTAATATGTAAAGACCAAGTGTAACTTATATAATCGTTAAATCTTATCTAATAAAACCAGTAAAACTTCAAAATCGTTAAAATTCATGACTCCCGCCGCATTACGCAGGTACACAGCTAGTTAATTTATAAATTCAACACTATAATTTTTAATGAGTAAAATAGACAATTTAAACAAATTCAGACGTTTATCACTTTACAAAAACAAACAGTTTTATTGATTCAAATTCCAGACTTCAACACCATCTCTTATAAATCAAAAATAAAATAAGACTTCAGATTTCAACACCTCTTAAAACAACAAAATCCACCTAATTATTTTTCAAAATAACAGGAAATTTTGAATTGCATTAATTATTTATGTTTGGTAGACTTTAAAAAAAGAATAATATTTGTAGGTTAAATAATAGACTCCTCCGCTTTAATTAATTATTTTCTTCATATTCATGTTTGATTTTCAATCTGAGCTTCTGTCCCGCCCAAACCTTCTCTCTCCCTTTTCTTCCAATCTGGACTCCATTTCTCTCTGTAATCATCTCATCCACACCTTTGTCGGATCTCTTCTCATATCTTCATTCACTCTCCACAATCTACTCTGTTCATCCATGTCATTTTCCCTCTCTTTTCTCCTTTCTGCACCTCACTGAAACCCTAGAAATCACTCTGTTGTTATATTATGAATCATTATCATATATATGAAGCCATCGGCCAGGGAAAATACTCCGTATTGAACTCTATATCTCAACATCTTTATAATATAGTTTTTCGTCTTTTTTTGTCTCAATTTAGTATTTAATTATGTTTACGATGGTTTGCAGACTGTGTATAAAGGGAGGAAGAAGAAGAGCATTGAATATTTTGCAATTAAAAGTGTTGATAAGTCCCATAAGAGCAAGGTTCTTCAGGAAGTAAGCTTCTTTCTTGGTGTTTGTGTTTGTGTTTATACAGATGGGTTGACTGTTTTGCTTATGATCATGTGAAATTGAATGTTTGAGGTGGAGATTGTAGTGCACTGCAGATCCATGTGAATATTTTATTTACTTACTTACTGTTGTAGTGTGTCATACGATCCATAAAAGTTGGACGGTTTCCTTCTTTATGTAAAATTTTAAGCTACACTTGCTCAATTGAACACTGTCATCATTGCATATTGTAGATCGCATTCATTCTGGTATATAGGGTTTCTTATGTTGTCATTATTGATGTGAATTTAGGCGTTAAACTAATAATCAAATACATTATTTTAACCAGGTGTAGGACAAAAGTTGGAATTTTTATGGAATAGGTATTTGATTGTCATTCTGGACAGCTTTTTAAATTTTTTTTATCATATGGAGAAGCAACTGGCTTAGTAACCAAGAGGATCAGAGAAAAACTGGTGTTAATTAGAGTTTCAAAGACTAAGTCATGCTGTAATGCCTTATTGATGTGTGGATAATGTATACTCTATTTGTTAAACGTAATTTGGAATGACTAGGTTTTAGAAATGTAGATGTTTACTGTAGAGAACAATGTTGCTTAAAAAAAGTCGGAAATTATTGTCTCTGAAATGGCATGTTCAAAGCCTGGTCGTGATGATTTTGTTGCCAAGACTGTTGAAATCTGACTTCATTTATGCCGTATTCTTGGACTAAGTATTGACCCCAACCTTGCATTATGTATAAAACCTCTGATTTATGGCAAACTTAATAAAGATGTCAAAATTATAAGCTATGGAGGACGAGGAGATAGGATTCAACATTGGCGATCAAATGATGCTTTAGACAATCAGTCAAGGATGTAGGTTTCATCATTTCAGTGGGCATAGTTGTTAAAAGGAGCCTGAGGTGTGCCTACTGCCTAGACTCTGAGGCTCATAAGGCTCAAAGTCCTGTGCCTTGTGGGACTAGGCGCTCCTCATAAATAGTTACTAAATCTCAAGTCAAACCCGAATGTTAAATAAATTTTCTCATCTTCTTATCTCCTAGACTTCTTAAAAAAGAGTGATTAAATAGATGCCATAAGTCACCCTGATATTAAATACACAGTTCTTATAACTTCAAGCCTCTTTCTCTATAAATACCCCGACCTTAAAACTCTTTCCTCATGGCTCATGCTTTAAACCCTTCTCCCTTCTGCCTCTAAGTACTGCTGGTTGCTGGATTGGAGTACTTGCGACATATTTGAGTTGTGTATAACCGTGTCATAGTTGTGAAAAGTGCGCCTGAGGCGCAAGCTTGTGGGCTTTTTGCATGTCAAGGCGAAGCATATTGATGAGGCACACTAAGGCGTTGGGGCTTGGCTGAGGCGCCGTATGAGCCTAGGCGCGCCTTGTAAAGATTTCTATAAAACCAGTCAAACAAATCCTAGTATAAAATAAGAAGACTAATATTAATTACGTCTTATAATCTCCTACACTTCTACAAAAAGAGTTATTAGATAAGTTCTTATATTAAATAAGTCAGTCAATACTCATACTCTATAACTTCAAGGCTCCCTATAAATACGTTCCATACCTTATACTCCTTCCTCAGGGTTTTAAACTCTTCTCTTTTCTAGTTGCTACATTGGAGGCTTGTACTTGCTGCATTGTAGGCATATACTAGTCAAGACTTTATCGAGATATGTTTGAACTTGAACAATGTTTCATAGAATGCTATTTGAGTTGTGTATAACTATGTGTGTGTGTATATACAATTTTTTTATAAGATGCGCCTCGCATTTCTGAGGCCCTGCTTCTCGCCTGTGCCTCACATTCTTGAGGCCCGCGCCTTGCGTCTAGGCTCTAGACCCCTTTGTGATTAAGTGCGCCTTGATCTTTCAACAACTTAGCTGTGTGTATGTGTGTATATATATATATATATATATATATACTTATTTATAAGTTGCACCTCACATTCACGAGATCAGCGCCTCGCGCCTAGGCCCCGGGACCCCTTTGTGCCTGAGTGCGTCTTTAGCCTTTAACAACTTTGTCGGAGGGAGAGGTCGAGGATGATGGAAACACATAGGATAAAGGTGGTGGTGGTTAAAGTGGAGAGCTGCCATAAGAGTGTTGTGTGACAAGAAAGTCCCCGTTAAAAATAGAGGGGAAACAGTATAGTGTAGTCATCAGATCAACCATGTTGTATGTGTCAGAGTGTTCGGCGATGAGGAAGATGCAAAAGTGGAAGTTGGAAGTTGCAGAAATGAGGTTGATCAGGTGGACTTGTGGTCTGAGGTCTTTCAGGCAGAGTTTTTCCTAGAGCTTTACGTTGGATGGAGGGTTATTTTAGTTTATTACTCTTCATATCATATTTATGCGAGTATTAGGTTTTTCATGCTTTTGTTGTATGTCAGGCTTGAATTTTTCTCATGCTTTTATTGTTTGTCAGGCTTAATTTTTTCTCATGCTCTGGTAGCTGTTAGTACTGAGCTTTCAGCTTTGTGATTCCTTGTTTGTTTTATCTTATGCTCCTTGTGTATCCCTGTACCTATGCATGCTTGAACACACTTTTATGTTTACTTCCTCACTAGTTTTCTTGTATATATTTTTGTATTGCAAACTGAGGGTCTTCACAGGAACAGCCTCGCCACCCTTTGGGGTAGAGGCAACGTCTGCTGCATCTTTACCTCCAGACCCTACCACTCCACTCCTGGGGGACTGAAGGCAGGTTCTCCATAGAGTGCTCATGGGTTGGGTTGATCGGGTTGAAGACATTTGAACAACCCAACCCAATGCTTGCGGTTTGAAAAAATCTTAACCTAACCCAACCCAATGCTTGCGGTTTGAAAAAATCTTAACCTAACCCAACCCAATGCTTGCGGTTTGAAAAAATCTTAACCTAACCCAACCCAAACCAAAGTGCAACCCAACCCAACCCAACCCGTACGGGTTGGTCGGGTTGATACTTTGATATATTAAAATATTATTCTAACCTTGAATATGTTATTTCTCTACTCATAATTTCTTTTTCATCATCAACCATTTGATACAACTTATCCATATTTCTTACGTATATCACATTCAGTTAATTTTCTCAATTTACATATATATGTTTACAGTTACTGAACATATATATGAATGAGTTATATAGAGATATGAATAGATTGAAAATATGTGTATATGAAAAGCATACATGATAGTGTAATTATCTAATGTATATATTAGTAGAAATTCAACAATCATATTAAATCCAAGAAATAAAAGGATATCGGGTTCATCAGGTTGGGTTTGGTTCAAATAATAGTAACCCAATATCAACTCAATACCTATGGTTTGACAATTTTGCAACTCGATTAGACATCGGGTTGCTTCGGATTGGGTTATTTCGCGTTGGGTTGGGTTGATCAGGTTTTTGAGCACCCCTAATAAGATCGGGTAAAGCCTATTGAAGAAAAATCTGAGACTCACTCAGAATCCAGTTTAGGACCGTGGTAACTGCTTAGACATAGACATGCTTCATCTGTCTTATGTTATCAAAGAGTTCTTTTCAAGCTAAAATACAAGTTCTATAGGACGATGAAGTAGTTTACCAGGAACTATATGTTGAGGTAGATGTGTGGCCACAAAATGAGGCATGGAACAAAAAATCATGGTATATAGAAGAAGGGGCTGACAGTAGTCGAGCAGAAGTCAGAGCAACACCATTTATGATCGTTAGGTGATCTCAAATGTAGGGTTTTGAATGAGCCAATCAGAAAGGTGACTTGCACCAAGAGAAGGTCGTTAGAAGAGGGAAGTGTTGCCCAAGAATGACACGTTGGAAGAGAGAGATTTGCATCACTATAGTATACCAAATGAATTGGCATTAGATAGGCATGTAACACTGCTGTTCATGTCCCGATATCATTTGGGGTCGCGGTGGGGTGGGTGGGTTTACTTCTATATATATTGCATTTAGGTTCACCATTGTATTTTTCAGTTTTCTTTATATTGTGTACCAACCACTTTGGAATAGAAGGCTTGTTATTTTCCCTATCTTATTTGTATATAGAACTCTCAGTTTTATTCCTGTTTCTTTAATTTGCACTGCAGGTTAGAATTCTTCACTCTTTGGATCATCCAAATGTACTCAAATTTTATTCCTGGTAAGGCAGTCTGCTGGAATGAAGTCGGCAATTTTCTTTTTTATATTTTATAAGTTTCTAATGTCTCAGAAACTTGGAAATATCATTGTGGTTATTAGATCGTTGTTTTAGATGATCTATCCCATAGCAGAATGGAAATTTCAGTTTTATACTGTATATTTCTTCTTTTGAAATAGGTATGAAACATCTGCTCATCTGTGGCTGGTTTTAGAATACTGTGTTGGAGGTGATCTCAGGACATTACTGGAGCAGGTATGGCCAGTTCTTTTGTTTGTCATGCAAAGTCCTTTTAAGTTTGTCATGCAACATTAGCAATTTTTTTGAGACTTGCTACTATGCTAGATTTACTTGTAAATACTAACAATACAATTGTTGTGTATAATATTCCCACCTGTGACTGAATATTTTGCTTTAAGAATTCTATCACAACCTTTTTTAATATTTTTCAAGGAAATGAAACAATAAACACAGATTTACTAGAACTTGAAAAGGGTGATGGGACATGAAATGCTGTTCTCTCTGGATACAATTTAGTACTAGAAGGGTAGTGTCATGTCTGTCACCTCATGAAATGGTGTATGGATACACAGTGGTGAGTTGAGAATCAGTGCGGTGTTAAACACTAAATCCAATGCCATAAGGATCACCTTTGGTAGGTCATGAGAAAGACCACAGAGGGAAATAGTAGATCTTTTGTTGATTAAGGTGTAGAGATCCTAAACTAATAGTGTTATTTGATCAAATGATGTTTAACTTTGATAATACAAATTCTCCAAAAACGGTATGGTTGCTAATCTGGCACACTATGTGGTCCCCCCATTTTCTATTGGACTGGATGGGTGGGAGCCATTTTAGTTTATACAAGACATTGATTAAGATTTAAGGATGCCAGATTCTATGTTGGAGTACACTTTTCAACCAATGGATATGATCGATATTAGGTTATTGAGGGATTGATGATTTGGTGAACAGTTTTTGTCATCTTGTACAATGTTGCTGTTGGACGCTTCCATTAAGCATTAGAAGCAGTACTATTGCCTCAGCCATCTATGCCCCCCTATGGTTTCGTATTACCATGAGCCCCCTACTGAAGTTCTCTGGTCATTTGCTCCATCAGCCTGGTGTTCCCAGGCAGGGAATCCACTGAACTCGGGTCATTCCTGCTTCAGGTTGGCTCAAGCTATGCTGGTATTTCTTTGAGCTGGTAGCCTTTCACAATTTCATTATGTTTCTGAGTTTGGCCTCATGGACCATCAGTGTAAACTACAAAATCAATGCTCGACATAATGACACATACTCAACCTATCAATATTGTCCTTGTTTACTTTCTGCCACACACCAGTCCATGTTTCTCCAATTGTTGCAATGTTTTTATCCCTTAGACGACATCGCTAGAACAATTCTGTTATGTATGTCATTTGCATTGGCTGTAACGTCAAAAAAAGTAATTTGAATATTTTTTAAAGTTTGTCCCTCAATTTTCATTATTCTAAGCATCTGAACGTTCATTTTCACCATCTTGATTATTTTTTTTGAAAAAGTTACACAAGCAGAAGAGAGATAAAAGGTAGGATCTTTTTTTTTATGTATATCAAGATATCTGAATTCTAAAATTCAGGCACTCTTACATCTTCATTCTCATCTTCTTTTCTTAGACCGAGTCTCTAAAAATCTAATTGAAAATCAATAACTGCTTACTTACTGGTACTTTGAAGCTGTGAAGCATATCGTCTCATAAGAGTTGCTATGACATTTCATATTTATTTAATTAAAAACTTCCTTTAACTTGGAATGTAACAATTTGTAGAAGGAAAATAGTTATAAGCATCGGCGTCCGATAAATCAAAAGAAAATAAAGAAAAGGATTGAATTAGAATTTGGAGGAAAGTTTCATTGTACCATTGGTTACTAAAAGTTTTCAAATATATTTACTAGCATAACATCCAATTAAGTTTAAATTTAGTTCTAAGTAACTTTTTTTGATTATACTGAAGGGCTAAAACACATGAAAATTTAGAGTTTAATTGTTTTTTTATTTTATTTGATTAACCTGGATATCCAACCCGCTATGCGAGCCGACTAATTCCAGGGCGACCACCTGCTTTGCAGATAGCCCGGAGTCAATGCATTTGAACCTTCATGGCCACAAGGGGATTTTTATTTCTCCTTGGATTTGAACCTGGGCTTGAACCAATCAGGCACCACCTTTGTGGTTGAGTTTAATTGTTTTAATAGGTAGCTTTTAGTCCATTGTCTAAATTAGATTTTGGACCAATGTTCCATGCCATATACGAAGGTTTGTCCCCTCCGTAGCAAGATTCTGGAGGGAGATATGACAAGACATAACTCAGTGCCTGTATGTTTTTTTTTTGCTTAATGAGCTTAACAGTTTATCCACTCCATCATTAAGCAATGTTTGTTTTGGGCTTAATTTTTTTAGCTAGAAATGGCCAAGGGCTGTTTGGTTGATGGATTAATCTGTCTGTATAGATTGAGAAGGTTTTTGTTTGAGAGGGTTTTTTCCTAGATGGAAGGAGCGTGTTCTATAATTGGCACGGGCAGGTTTGGAAAAAACTTGGCTTTCTGCATAAAGCTCCCCCTAGAAGTTTACCGAATAAATCACTTTCTATATCATTAAGCTACTACCAAACAATTATATATAGATGACCGAATAAGCTGTGAGTCTCATTAAGCTGCTGCTATCGAACATGCTCTAAATTGGATATACCACCATGTATCTGCTGTCCACGTTACTGCAGATAGGCTTTAATAGAAAGAAACACAGCCCCTATTAGATGAGTCTAGTAAAACTTCTTAAAGCGTTTTCTATAGCAGAATAATCTTTCGCTATGCTCTGACAGACATTTGATGTATAGCTTTAAGGAGATATGCCTTCTATCATACACAAACATTTTTGTTACCTCTAGCGGATTCTGTCCACATAGAATTTAGAAAGAACATCATAAGTGAGTATAGCGTAGTGCTTAGGAAGAGTACGAGAGACTACGCTATAGGAAGAGTACGAGAGATTTGATGTACCCATAATTTATTGTTGTTTATTGGTTCTTTCTATCATGCAGTATCGTTTCTCTGAAAATTTGTTGTGATGACATTATGGTAAAAGCAAATCATTGAGCGACTACTGCTTGTTTATAGACCAACATAGATTGTTGTTACATGCCTATGACACAAGTAATATTTTGACTGAGTTACAGGACAGTAAACTTCCAGAAGATTCAGTACATGATCTTGCACGGGATCTTGTCAGAGGTTTGCGGTAAAAGACTTTCTAGCCATGATGTACACTATATTTTCAAAATGTATATGGATGTAGAGATTGTAGCATCTGATTCTGTTTCAAATTGATCAATCTTCAGGTTCTTACACTCGAAGGGAATCATCTACTGCGACTTAAAACCATCAAACATCTTATTGGATGAAAATGGTCGTACAAAGGTATTTTTACTGTATTTATTATTGTTTGGTTGCTTATTTTCTACTAACATTTTTCATTCTGCACACGTATTGCAGCTATGTGATTTTGGGTTATCCAGAAAATTGAGCGATATATCTAAAACGCCTTCTTCCCTGGTGGGTCCTAACTATTCAAACTGCATTTCTCTATTTTCCTTTTGTTACATGGGCATAAATAATGGAGATCATTTATTTGACGGTTTACTATATAATAACTTACCTTGACATTGTTTAGTTACCACAAGCAAAGCGTGGAACTCCATGTTACATGGCTCCTGAGCTGTTTCAGGATGGGGGAGTTCATTCTTATGCTTCTGATTTCTGGGCTCTTGGTTGTGTGCTATATGAATGCTATGCTGGTAGACCTCCCTTTGTAGGGAAGGAGTTTACACAATTAGTAAAATCCATTCTCTTTGATCCAACCCCATCCCTCCCTGGCAATCCAAGCCGTCCATTTGCGAATCTTGTCAGTTCTCTCCTAATAAAAGATCCAGCAGAGAGAATACAATGGTCTGAGATTTGTGGTCATGCCTACTGGAGAACAAAGCTCACTCCAGTGCCTTTGCCTCCTCAACCTGCTTTCACTAATATGATAGAACTTTGTTATAAACCATGCCTCTCAGAACGCAATGGTGAGAAGCCTCTTCAGAACAAGACCCCACCCGGAAATCGTGACAATTCCAAAGGTCCTGATGAAAGTTCTATGCCTCTTCATAACACACCTAGTAGAGGTATATCCAGTGGCCGAAAGATTCAACCAAAGGCTTCAGGCAAAGTAGTGGATGAGAAGCAGAAAGAAGAAAAAAGTAACACAAAGGGTGTCAATCTGCTACGTCTATCTAGGATAGCAAAGTCGAACTTACAGAGGGAAAATGAAAAGGAGAACTACCGCAGGCCAATGCCCAACAACTCGGAGAATGATACTGACGTTAAAATTGAAAACACCGATATGGAGCTTGATTTTAACGAGAACACTGAAGATGAGACACAAGATGAGCCTGACATGCCTGGTACTCCAAACCATACCCTTGACGAGAATTTATCAACTCCAGATCAGGAAGAGAGAAGACTAGACGAGATAGATAGAAACACACACAATTTGGTTGCATCACCCATGGTTAACACACCTGCGACAGAATACTCCAGAAGAACTGAGCATGAATCTTCTTCAAATCATATTGAAGTGCCTGCTACTCCGCCAACCGCTTCACCTCAATCCAAGATTCAAAGAATCATAGAAGACTCAGGTGGTGCTGTTGAATCTGACACATCCAGGTCCTCCCCTAACTTATCACAGGTGCTTTGGCATCCATCTGATCTCTCGGTGAGACCTGTGATGCCCAGCAAAAAGTCAGATAAAGGATCTGAAGCAGTACCTTCTCTCCCCTTTGATGCAATGCCAGCATCTGATTTTGTGAAAATGTCAAAAGAGCAGTTAGATGGACTCAGCAAATCTATCATAAGCATCCTAAACGGGAATACTCCTATTGGTGAGAAGCAGAATGTGATTAGATACCTTGAGATGTTAAGCATCAATGTTGATGCAGCCAATATTTTAACCAATGGTCCAATAATGCCTGTTCTTGTCAAAATGCTTCGGCAGGCCAAAGTCTCAGCTTTGCGTGTTCAACTTGCTTCACTCCTTGGCTTGTTAATACGACATTCTACCTTTATCGATGATGATTTGTCAAATTCTGGAATATTAAATTCCTTGAATGAAGGTCTAGTAGATAGGCAAGAGAAAGTCAGAAGGTTCTGTATGGCTGCTTTGGGCGAGTTATTATTTTACATATCTACTCAAAGTGATCAATCTAAAGCAACTAATCCACCAGAAAGTCCATCCAAGGAAAGCAGGACCTCATCAGGATGGCAGGTCATCTCTCATCTTCATTGCTTTTATCTTTTGTTTGAGAAGAGTTCTTTTTGATCTTGGGTCTTATATGTGCTACGGTTTCTACTTTCTACCTATTGAAAAATTGAATATGCGATGTAATTTGGCAAATTGCTTGAAAAGTAATATGATTCTTTTTCTTTTGTGTAACATACATTCAAAACCTTCATTTTGGTTATCAATTTTTCATGCATTCTCATATGTAAACCAAGTACCTAAATGTTTGAGATGTCACATCAGAGTTATCAAAATGAAGGTTTTGAAAGTGCGCTATGCGAAATAGGAATCTGATCAGAGTATGCTGTATAAATTTATTTAAGGTTTATTTATTGAAGCAGGTTCCAAGTCCAATGATTTCACTGGTAACATCCCTTTTGCGCAAGGGTGAAGATGATATAACTCAACTTTATGCGTTGAGGACAATAGAGAACATCTCAAGTCAAGGAGGATATTGGGCCAGCCGTTTCACCACCCAAGATGTAATCAATAATCTTTGTTATATATTCCGAGCTCCAGGAAAGCAGGAGAGCATGAGACTTACAGCAGGATCTTGTTTAGTGCGTTTAGTCCGTTTTAACCCTCCCAGCATCCAACAAGTAATGGAAAAGCTCACATTTAAGGAAATCGCTGCAGCCCTTTCAAAAGGCAACGCCCGTGAACAGCAAATTTGCTTAAACCTTCTAAATATGGCAATGCTTGGCAGCAACCTTTTCACCAATATCGGGCGCCACCTTCTCCCATTGGTGGAAGATAAGAATTTAGTACCGACTCTTGTGGCTCTCATTGAGCATGCAGGTGAAGTTCTGAGAGGAAAAACACTTGTTTTTGTGACTTTGCTTTGTAAGAACAGAAAGAGATGGCTTGCACATTTTTTCTTCAATGGGAAATTACTGTCAACTGTGGATCGGCTGGTGAAGGAGAAGGGTGCATATTTGCAGCAATGTTTAGAAGCATTTTTGTATGGTGTAGTGTCTACTATACCGGGGTTATTGGAGACCATAATTGCCGATATTCAGCAACTGCTGGGCGGTAGACGCCAAGTTACTGCTCTAACGGGCAGAGCTGCTGCTTCAAAGACCAATCTTCAACTTTTTTCTGTTGTTCTAAACCTTCTTGGAAGTTCATCTTTCAAACGCAGGGTGGTCAACTCTCAGGTCCTCCAACAGCTCAAAACACTAATCAAACTCGTGGAATCGCCATTTCAGGTAAACAGAGTACCTGTTGTAGATATTTTGTCTTTCACCTGTGTAAATGAATACACAAATATATATTTAGCTGATTTATCAGGATGAAGGTTAATTTGAAAATTGTAAATATTTTGAGAAATGAGGAACCAAATATTTGTAATGAATGTACATAAATACACTTGAATATTCATGATGTTATCATGAATAACCATTCATAATGAATATCATGATATTCATTATGAATATTCATGGTATTTATTATGAATATTTGGCTCTGATGGTTTACAGTTCAAAAATGAACCTGCCCTCTGTCAGGAGTTGATTAAGTTCTTGAACCATCATACTTTTTTTCATTACAGGAGAACCATTGTTCATCTGAAAATGCAAAAAAATAGACATCACACTAAGAATGATCAATTTTGGACAAGCATGACGGTCATTTTTGCATTTCCACATTTTATCGCATTTTGTGTTTTTGCAAGAACTATACGTCTCCGCAGGCAACTCAAAATATTCTTGAACCATCATACTCGTCTTTTTTATTACAAAAGAACCATCAATCATGTGAAAATTCAAAAAGAATTTCCACATTTCATTGCATTGTCTTATTGCAAGATCCATGTACATCCTACCCCCAGACCCTATGTAGGTGTGGGATATACCGAGTGTCTTTGTTGGTGTTTATTTGCAAGAACAATACATTATCTGCAAACAACTCACGATATATCATCAAAATTTCAGGGAAGGGATGATTTTCAGCTAACCCTTCTACGCGTTCTCGAGGCAATCACTGAAGAACCATCCGTGATTGAAGAAAACTGGAGCAGTTTCATCCACGAAATACTTCCGAGTCTTTCTCTTCTTTGCAAAGGAAGCAAAGACGGAGACGCGAGATTCTTATGCTTAAAGATATGGTTTGAAGTGGTCGTTAATTTGCTAAATGAAGTACAGGATGACAACGGAAGACGAGAGGAATTGAAATCGGTATCTCGTGATCATTTCCTCCCATTGTATCCAAAACTAATAGAAGATGAAGATCCCATTCCAATATATGCACAAAAACTACACCAAATGCTGGTGGAGTTCAGCATCCTACAACAATAAGTCATCTCTTTTTCAATGTGTTTCAAATGTATTCATGTTCTGTATGCACTCATTGTTTGAAAGAAACTATGCTTATTTTTATTTGAATTGTGTCTCTAGTTGTTGATATTTCAGAGCAAATCTATTGCTAACCAATGATATCATTGAATTTGCCATTTTTGTTCTTATTTGATGAGAGGAATCATGGAAAAAAAGGATATGTAGTTCATTTGGCTTATGTTTTATGACTCGTCTCTTGACAAGTTATAATCAACTTTGATCTGAAAGTGTTGGCAATGTTAGGTTACCGGTTTTGACATAGCTGTTTTTGGTTTTGTAACCAAAATGTGTAGCTGATGTAGATTGGTATAAATCGGTCCTCAAAGCCTAATCTGTTTTAATTGGTTTGTTGACCATTGGGCCACTTGTTTATATTTTAAAATTTGGTTTTTGACCGGCTAGCCTTAACAGGTCTTTTTGATAACCGATTATTTAATGAAAACGCATTTCATACGGACCGATAATTATAAGGGTGCGTTTGGTACATGAGACAGGACAAAACTTATTGTCCTCGTTTGACGTGACATGGAACAGAGACAAGAATTGGGACAATATAAGATAAAAGAGGTTTTTTCTTGTTCCAGCAAAATAGGTGGAACAATATGGGACAAGAATGAGACATTAAGTAAAACTAGAAGCGTACTCGCGCAGTGCAGCGAGATACATCATGATTTTAATATTTTATTTTATTATTTATCTCAGTCGATATTATAATATG